GTCATTAATATTATTTAAAAGATCGAAAACTTTTCTCAACCCCTTTCTGAAAGGATAAAATATTGATAACATTAGATTAAGGTAAAATATCTGCACGAAATTCGTATACATTGTTTTTTCTTATATAAGAGAAGGGGGCAAACGAGCTGCGGGAATACAGACGGTCAACGACGCTCATGGACATGGAACACCAGAGGAACTACAGATGCGTTGTATTTAAGCATAATTCAAGAGAAACATTGAATATTATAAAAGAAAAATATAGCCTATGTTACTCACTGATAACATAGCTTTCTAATTTTGAAAGAATTTTCGAAACCGGTCCAGTAGTTTTTAAGTTATATCAATACTGTTAGGAATAAAATTAGTACCGTGCTATAGAATTGGCGCAACTCTAGATTATCGGCATAAACGTCACGTCCCTAGCTGACAGCTATCAATGTCACTAGAAGTTTGGATAGATTTGGCGCGCATCCTAAGTCTGGACGAGAAGTATTGCTCTGAGTTAAAAGCGACAGTATCAATTAAATAAGTTGTCTAATAATACATACAAAAATACAAATCTTTTTAATATTACTATAGACAAAGGAATGTTTAACTCTTACCGTTCAAACCATAACCATCTGCAGGAATTGCATATGATGGTAAACATTAGTATGTTCAGATAACTCTTTACTTTATCGAGGTATCCTGTTGTATAACGTATCTGGTACACCACAGCACCCATAAAAAGAATGTAAACCGACAATACTAGGACGATAATTAAAAATGAAACTGTAACAATTTAAAACAAACATAATTATACAAGAAAATAGAAGTTTTTTATTGTAACAAAGCGTGGCCCCTTAACCAAACTTTGAACCAACCATGACACATGTAGTCTTCAGTTAAGTACTGTTTAAGTGACCATTAACGCGACAATAAGCTTAAATTTGAAGTTAAAATACATAATTCATAAAAAAATTACCTCCAACTTTATTTTTAACATACGAATATCCAAAAATATTTGGCACAAGATCTATTAGCCAAATTAGACTCTGGAGTGAATTTTCCGTTAAATTATATTTTAGTTTTTTAATAAAATTTGCCATCTTAAAATGTAAATCGTAAACGTTTAATTCAAAAGTAGAATACAGAATGAAGTAATTATTTTTACAGAATCGAATAAATAACATATTCGCGTTTTAATTACAAGATGAAGAAAGCTGTTGTATAATTATGCAAATTGTTGAAGGAAAGAATTAAGTAATTTCTAAAGGGGCGGTGAATAAAATATACAGGATGTTCAGAAAAAAATGTGAACAACTAAATATTCAACGGTCAAAATTATGACGGTATTATCCAAAATACCGCTTTCCAAATTTCCTTAGTTTTAGCGATAAAGTTTGTATATTTATTTTACAAATAACAAGAATAATTATGCATATTAAATGATTATAAGTAGGGATATATTTATCTTACTTCATGGTAAATTAAGGTTATTGGAACACTGCCATCTTTTGGTACGATCCGTCTCTATAGTGGGAGATAAATGAACATCGAGGGGAAGTTTTACATTATGCATAACAGATGGCGCACTCCTTTCCCAAACACTATTATTGCAACTCAAATTAAAATTTATTTCAATGTCATGCGTATTCTTACTCAAGGTTAGAGGAATAGATGTTTACATACAAAAAACATTGGGAGAATATCAAAAATAAAACGCGTGTTATATTCCATCCCTGTGAAGTAGCCCATCTATTGATTTTTTGTATGACAATTATTTGTGTAATAATTATTAATATCGCTCTTAGTTACCGGGTAATCACAGTGAAGGGAACTTTCGTGCATACCGAACAATCTATTAAAAGTCGACATTAAACAATAAATTAAAAGGAAATAAAGATATCTTTTCATTTTTTTCTAGTAAATAATTGGCTATGTAACACAAAGTAGTTGTATTATTTCAAATAAATATTCAATAGACATGTCACAACACTTTGGCTTGTTTTTCTATGTCTCAGGAATCTGTAATGAAACAAGATAAAATGTCAATCACTTTAATAACTGGATCACATCCAACGCTGTAATTGACAGTATTTGAATATCAACAAGCACATCCAACGCAACATTCAATAGAGGCTTCAAAAA